CCTCTAGCCTCTTCCTGACTACTTCTGCATATACCTTATAACCAACTGGCATCAGCGTCACCCCCCTATAATCTTCTACCTTTTTCCCTTCTCCTTTTTTTAAGATCGGTGCTACCAATCCTGTCTTCCACGTTTCTGGCCATCCATATTTTAACTCTTTCATGGCCAGTGGGACACATACGTCCCACCTACTTCAAAAAATCATAACTTTCATAAAACTTAATCGATTAACTCCACTAATATCTCATTTTGAAGAGGAGGGATAAAGTAACAAATGTAAATACATGTATTTTTTTAAAAAACTACCCTCTTTGAAATACACCCCTTCAAAAAACCCGAAAAATGAGAAAAATGAAAAAACAGGTATAAATTTCAGAAGAAATTTTTTTTTCAGGCTTTCATAGTAACATATGTTTAAAAATATTGCAACCTTTGTAAAAAAAAATTAATATTAAAAATTCAACCCGAGGGTGCAGAAAAATAACTAAAACTACCCCTAAAAACCAAAACCTTTAAAAATTAATAAATTCGCTTGAAAATTGTTACTTGGGGGTTTTCGGGGTCGCTGATTACGAATCCGATGTCCGTTTTCAAAAATTCAAAATGGCGGATCCAAAATGGCGACCGATAATTATAAAAAATTACTAGATTCGCGTGAAACTTATCACTCGGGGGTTTTCGGGGTCGCTGATTACGAATCGGATGTCCGTTTTCAAAAATTCAAAATGGCAGAACCAAAATGGCGACCGATAATTATAAAAATTTACTACATTCGCGTGAAACTTATCACTCGGGGGTTTTCGGGGTCGCTGATTACGAATCCGATGTCCGTCTTTAAGAATTCAAAATGGCGGATCCAATATGGCGACCGATAAATATAAAAATTCACTAGATTCATGTGAAACTTGTCACTTGGGGGGTTTTCGGGGTCGCTGATTACGAATCCGATATCAGATTTAGAAAATTGAAATTGGCGGATCCAATATGGCGGACGAAATGATTAACTTTTATTAGATTCATCTGAAACTTATTACTCAGGGGTTTTCGGGGTCGATAATTACGAATATGATGTCAGTTTTTAAAATTGCAAAATAATGCTGGTGTCATTATTGCCTATTAATTTTGTAGCTTTTAGTGCCTGTTGTTAGGAGTTTAGTATGAAAATGAAAATTACAGACCCAGGCTCAATCGGTGAGGTAGTGGGAGAACGCTACACAGAGAAAACGAAACGACGCGCTGATTGCCTTATAACAGCAGTTCCACATGGGAGCTTCTTTACTACTGTCGTACCCCCCCCCTTTCATTTACCCAATGCACTCCCCTCTACGCCATCGTGGAGGGGAGTGCATTCAGTATGTACTCAATGCATTACTCAATATGATAATAATCAGTGAAAATTATTTTTTTGATTGTTGAAAACTGAATTCAGTATCTTATAACTTATGAATTACACAGCCCCACAAAAAAAAAGTGTCGTGCGCGGCAGACCAGACTAGTCATTTCCCATGTATTTTGACGCGCTGAACACGAATCCGAAGTCCGTTTTGCTCCATCACGTCAGGATTTTTTTCTAACCTCCAAAAACCTGTCGGATTTTGAGAGGTAGGCTATTTTTTTTTAAAATTGATGGATTTACTTCAAAATTGGTATCTAGGGGTTTTTTGGGTCGCTGATGACGAATTTGAAGTTAGATTTTCAAAATTCAAAATGGCGGCTCCAATATGGCGGACGAATTTTGTAAAAATTGATGGATTTACTTCAAACTTGGTATCCAGGGGTTTTTTGGGTCGCTGATTACGAATCTAAAGTTAGATTTTCAAAATTTAAAATGGCGGCTCCAATATGGCGGACGATATCGACCCTTCAAAGGTGATAATTCCGCCCTTACACACGAAACTAGGAGCAATTAAACAGTTTGTCAAAGCCTTAGATAAAAAAGGAAACTGTTTCAAATACCTGGAACAAAAGTTTCCAGAAATCTCTGATGCGAAACTAAAAGAAGGGGTTTTCGATGGACCACGTATTCGCAAATTGTTAAAAGATGAGCAATTTATCACCAAGATGAATAAAAAGGAGAAAGCCGCATGGCTTAGTTTTAAAGCAGTTGTCGAAAATTTTCTGGGTTATCACAAGAGTGAAAATTGGGAGCAAATAGTTAGTGATATGATTAAAAACTTTGGTAAGTTAGGATGCTTAATGAGCATAAAGTTGCATTACTTAGACTCGCATTGGGATCAATTCCCTGAAAATTTGGGAGATTACAGTGAAGAACAAGGAGAACGATTCCATCAAGATCTGAAAGAATTTGAGCGTCGTTATCAAGGAAGATGGGATGTAAATATGATGGCCGACTACTGTTGGATGCTGAAAAGGGATATTGTACCTGGAGGCACCAATTTGAAAAGAAAACCATTACACAAATCCTTTGAGGACAAAAGAGTGCGCTACCATAAAAAGACGTGAATACCTTACTTATGTATATAAGAATTTTCATTTCTAGTTTTGAAAATCTAACTTCAGATTCGTAATCAGCGACCCAAAAAACCCCTAGGTACCAAGTTTGAAGTAAATCCATCAATTTTTACAAAATTCGTCCGCCATATTGGAGCCGCCATTTTAAATTTTGAAAATCTATCTTCATATTCGTAATCAGCGACCCAAAAAACCCCTAGATACCAAGTTTGAAGTAAATCCATCAACTTTTACAAAATTCGTCCGCCATATTGGAGCCGCCATTTTGAATTTTGAAAATCTAACTTCAAATTCGTCATCAGCGACCCAAAAAACCCCTAGATACCAATTTTGAAGTAAATCCATCAATTTTTTAAAAAAATAGCCTACCTCTCAAAATCCGACAGGTTTTTGGAGGTTAGAAAAAAATCCTGACGTGATGGAGCAAAACGGACTTCGGATTCGTGTTCAGCGCGTCAAAATACATGGGAAATGACTAGTCTGGTCTGCCGCGCACGACACTTTTTTTTGTGGGGCTGTGTTAGGGGTGGACTTCAAGGGTAGGGGGTGAGTTTATTATTATTATCCATATCTGTGAAACATTGAAATACTTTTTTACAATTCAGAAGCACTTAGAATCCATATAATTTTTTTCATTTATTCACAAAAACATTTATCATTAAGGGGTGGTTATTTGACTTAAGGGTTGTTTTTCAGGGGTTGTTTATATTCAGTATTAATACTTAGTTATCATAGAAAATTTTTTTTTTCATATTTTCGAAAATCTGTGAAAATTTTTTTTTGATTGTTCCAAACTGAGAATAGTTATGAATTAGGGGTGGGCTTCAAGGGTAGGGGGTGAGTTTTTTATTATTATTATCTATGTCTGTGTAACTTTCAAATAATTGTTTATAATTTAGAAGCAATTAGAATCTATAGATTTTTTTTAATCATTTACAAAAACTTTCACCGTCAAGGGATGATTATTTGACTTTAAGGGTGTTTTCAAGGGGTTATTGATCCTTTTCAATTTTTAAGCAACCAGGCAATGTTTATAAATAAATAAAAAGTAGATAAGAGCTGAAAAATATTTAATTCATCAATTTGGTTAAATATCAGTTTTTTGGGGTAGTAATGTACCGTGGGGGTGGTTTTAAGGGGTGAAACATGTTAAAAAAAATTTTTTTCTCATACTGAATACTTTAGTAATTAAATCTAATATACATTATAAGTCTAAAGTAACGACAAAAAACTCGGCCATTAAAGGGTTAAGCTTTCCGCCTCCATTCCGTCCTCTCCTGCTGCCTTATTCCTTTTTATCCTATTTATCGCCTCGTTCACCTCCTCTCTACTTATCTCCTCTTGCTCCATTTCTACCTCTCTTCTCCTTCCTTCCCCTCTTATTTTATATCCCATCCCCCCGCTTAATCCCTGAAAATATTTCGTCCAATCCTCTATGCTAATTTCCTTATTAATCTCTTTTCCCTTCCTTCTTTCCCTATTGATCACTTCCCATTCCCTACCCTCTTCTATTGCCTTTTCAACCTCCTTTATATACCTTTCCCTCCTTTCTTCTCTTTTCTTCCTTACCAATTTTCCGTGCTCCTTATGTTCCCTATTATAATCTTCCTTCTTCATTTCCCCTTTTCTCCACCTCTTTATACAACCCCTTAACTTTATCCTACTTTTTTCACACTCTTCATTCTACCAACCCCTTTTAGTTTCCACATTTCCTTCCCTTTCCTTCACCATTTGTCTTTTAACCTCCCCAATTACCCTCTTCAATCTCTCCCATCTCTCATTCACTTCTCCTCCCTTCCCAAATTCCCTACTTTTTTCTTTAACCCTCCCTTCAAACTCCGTTAGTTCCGATATATCCCACTTTCCCATTTTACCCCTCTTATTTACTCCTGTCCTTTTCTTCTCCACTCTTTTCCCTTGTCCTTCGATTTCAACTGTTAGCGGAAAATGTCCCGAATCTGCTTCATCCCCTACTTCTACACTCTTTATTATTTCTTTTGTCTTCTCGTCCGCTATCACACAATCAATCACCGTCTGCCCTTTTCCCATAAACGTAATCTCTCCATCCATATCCCCCTTCGTACAACCATTACAAATTGTCCAACCCCCCTCCCCTATTATACCCAACATCTTTCTACCCTCTTTATCCACCTCCTTATGCTTTGATCTCCTTTCGTATTTCTCCTTTTCACTGTTCCAATTATCCCCCCCTAACTCCCCCGTCCATGCATTAAAATCCCCCCCTATTATGGTTAACTCTTGTTTCCCTTTTTCCATCCATTCCTCTACTATCCTCCATCCCTTAGTATCCCCCCTTCTTCTATAAATCCCTACCACATTTACCTTCTGCTTTCCCACTTCAATTCTTCTTACCATACTATCCTCTCTTCTCCATTCCTCTCCCGTCCCGATGTCCTTGATGTTATTCCTTACTCCTGATATCATGCCTCCAGAGCTCCTACCTTTCACTTGATCACTTTTCGCTTCTTGCATTAACCATTTATATCTTATTGTTTCCTTCTTCTTCTTCATTCCCCCGTCTTTAATTCTATTATCCCATCCACGTTCTCAACTTCTCCCCTCTTCTCTAAACTTTCCATTCTTTCCTCTAGGCCCTCTAGTCCTTCAATTCTTTCCTCTATTCTTCTTACATCTTCCTTCCTTTCTTCCTCTTTATCACTAATCCCCTTTTCTAAACTACTCAATTTTTCCCATACATTATCTTTTTCTTTTCTCCATTCTTCTTCATACCGTGTCCACATTTCCCTTATCTTTGCCATTTCCACCAAGACCCCTTCCATTTTCTTGTCCATTTTGGTGTTTCTATCTTCATCTATTTTCCTACTCTCACTTAATTCCTTTCGCATATCTTCTAATCCTTTTCTTGATTTTTCCCCCATTTTCTTCAACACCTCTAAAATCTTTCCAAAACCCCCCTCTTCCTGTTTTTCTTCTTCCTCTGCTTCCATTTTCTTTTCTTTTTTACCTGTCTCTTGCTTTGCTTTATCCCCTTTCATGACAAAACCGTCCATCATCACCACCGACGCAAAGCTTACCCCCCTCTCCTTTTTTTCCTTATTCGTCTTTCTACCCCTTGTGTCCTTTCCGTCTTTTGCTTTCTCTCGATCCGCCTTTTGCTGCGTGTCTTTCTTTTTCGCCTTTGGAGAATCGAACACAGCGATATCACTGCCGGCTTCGCTTTCTGATCCCCCCTTACTCACTACACTTTCTCTCTCACTTCCCACACTTGCCCTCTCGCTCCTCGTCTCCGTTCTCTGCGACCCAACCGACTCTATCTGCCCTCTTTCTTATCTAGGCGGAGTCACGAACATCGACATCTCCTACTTTACCCACCTACTTTCTTTCTCCTTTTCTCTCAATCTCCTGTCACACTCACACTTTCTAACCTCACCCTTTTACCACTTTCACACTTTTACCTTTTTCTCGATTCAGCAACCACTCACTCCCAAATATTTTTTACCATATATACTTCATACACTACTACACACTTTTTTCACTACTCACTCTCTCTCCCTTCACAATAACCCTCAAAAAAATTCAAAAAATCAATGCAACCACGTAAACACGTGTACTATCAAACAGCACCGGAAACGGAAGCCATTATATTTTATTAATTATATTAAAATTATATTAAATTAATTATATTATATTAATAATAATATTGTTCTGCCTCAATAGAAAAAGGCTTGATTGTTTTTTAATAAAACTGACATTTTATTATTAAGAGTGAAGGAGAATAATTTTGATATTGATTTTACCCTTAATTAACACATTTATTTAATTTCAAAGACAAAATACATGGAGTAAGTTTCTGACAAAATTAAATCTCTACGTCTATTCTTTTCGGAAGTCGACCGAGTTCTGATCTCAGGTCCTGTTTAGGTACAGGGCCCTTACTCGAAGTACAGGCTAAATTTGGCAACGTCGCATTTAGATTTTGAAAAAGTGAAAGTGGCAACGTTGGAATTTGAAGATGGAAGGATAAATTTTGTACATAGATTTTGAGAAATAGTACAAATTGCCTATTGCCATCTTGACCGTTCTACTCAGGTACCTAGGGTTATAACCCAGTACCGCAATAAAATCATTTTCTCTACATACCGAAGATTTTGAAAGATTCAGAGGCTTACAAACTAACATTTTACTAAAAATATTTGTTCGAGAAATATTCGTTTTAAAATGTTTGTATTAAAAAGAATGACAAAAATATTTTTAATTGTTAAATATTGTTACTACGTAACATTCTGCCCCCCTTTGAATGCGTAGCTTTCAAAGAAATAACAATGTTTTTTAATGTCACTAACCACCACTGAAACACATTTGTTTTGTCTCTAATTGTTATAAATTGGTAGTGGATAGACACTTTTTAGCGAACGCTTATATACTCCAGTTGAACCTTGAACATTCACTGTTCGAATAATGCCATCTTGCCCTGGGAAGATAGCGGATATTCGGCCAAGTCTCCATGACAAGGGCGGCAAGTTGTCCTCCTTAAGCACGACAAGTGTGCCTATTTTGATGTCGTCTTGGTTTGAAGCTGCCTTCCATTTCGAGCGGGAGATTAGCTCATTGAGATATTCTTTGCTCCATCTATCCCAAAAATGATGACGCAGCTGCTGAGCGTGTTCCCAGCAATTCAGACGGTTTGCCGAAACATTTCGCAAATCTTTGTGTGGAAAAGTTGTCATGGGTGCCCCAATCAAAAAGTGACCAGGAGTCAGAGGAAGGAGATCATTTGGATCGGAAGAAAGTGGTGTAAGAGGTCTTGAATTGAGTATAGCTTCAATTTCAACTACATATGTATGTAGTTGTTCATAAGTTAAAAGAGTGTTGCCTGCGATGCTTGTGAAATGCTTTTTGAACGATTTCACCGCAGCTTCCCAGAGACCTCCAAAATGAGGTGTCCGGGGTGGAATAAAATACCAGCTAATCTTTTTCTGAACTAAAAAAGTTTTGAACTCTTCACCTTCTTCAAGAGTCTGAATTTCTTTATATAATTCTTTTAATTCGTTTTTAGCTCCAATGAAATTGGTAGCATTGTCAGAGGAGATGGTATGTGCCAACCCTCTCCGAGCAAATAATCGCTTCAAACAATTCAGAAAGGCCTCGGTAGTCAAATCACTTGCCAATTCCAAATGAATTGCCTTAGTGGCCATGCAAACAAAGACGCATACATATGTTTTTACTTTAGTTAGATTTCGATGACGTCGTTCTTTTATGAAGAACGGTCCGCAATAGTCAACCCCCACATTTAAAAATGGACGAGAGGAAGACAATCTGTTATGGGGTAAATTTCCCATTATATAATTGAGTTCTCGCGGTTTCGCTCGAAAACATTGAACGCATTGTTTGATTGTGTGCCTAGTAGCGTTGCGACCGTCAATAGGCCAGAATTTCTCTCTAACCCCGTACAGAGTAGCATTAGTCCCTGCATGCATGCGTGAAATGTGCTCGTCTCGAATAATAAGCTTTGTTAAAGCATGATTTTTCGGGAGGACTATAGGATGTTTTTGACTGTAGGATAGATCAGATTGGGAAAGCCTTCCGCCTACCTTTATCAAATTTGATTCAAAAAATGGATGTAGACTCACAAGACTACTTTTTGGATGAATGTTTTCCTTTTTTGAAAGAGCTTGAAATTCGCGTGGAAATGATTCTTGTTGCGCGAGTGAAATTAGTTTTTCGAGCGCTGCGTCGTATTCATCGAGGGATATTTTACCTGTGATTTTATTGCTATCCTTTTTGCGCTTGACTATTGATAACCATCGGAGACAGTACGCCATAACGTTTACGCAGGTTCTCAACTTACTGTGGTTTCGAACAATATTGCTGGGCCCATGAGTCTCTACCTTTGCGATCAGAGAGATTGGTGAGGGAGTTTTGACTTCAGGTATGTCTCGTTTTTCCAACTTAAACACAGGCCAACAATTTTCGTCTTGGCTTAACCACGCAGGACCTTGAATCCATTGCCTGTTATTCACAAACTCAAGAGGAGCTTGGCCTCGAGAAATTATGTCAGCAGGATTGTCTTGCGTGGGTACATGTCTCCAATCGTGATTTTGAGAATTAGATTGAATCTCAGAAATTCTATTAGCCACAAATGTTTTTAACTTATAGGATGGAGTATTTATCCAATTATGCACAATTGTTGAATCAGACCAAAGGAATTTTTTATTGATTTGAAACTGAAATGCTTCGACTGTTGATTTGTACAACTTTATTAATAGATTTGCTGCACACAATTCAAGTCGAGGTAAGGTGGTAGCTTTTAAAGGGGCCACCTTAGATTTTGCACAGATAAGAGCACAATGGTGCTGTCCTTGGCTATTAGTAACCCTGAAATAAAGACATGCCCCATAGGCCTTTTCACTGGCATCAGCGAAACCATGGATTTGAAGTTCAGTGTGATCAGGAGATAAGATATATCGTTTGAATTTTATCTCGTTTAAACATTGTAATTGGTTTCTGTAATTATTCCAGAAATTTTGAATGTCTAATGAGACCGGAGTGTCCCATGAAAGTTTTTCTTTCCAGAGATGCTGTATAAGAATTTTTGCGGACACAATTACTGGAGCAACCAAACCATATGGATCATAAATCGTGGAAGCTTCAGACAAAATAGACCTTTTTGTGGCAAGGCCTTTTGTTGAAGAGAAATTTACTGCATAAAAAATTGAATCACTAGATGGGTGCCAATGCAATCCCAATGCTTTTACTGATTTTGTAGGATCTAGAGACATAAAATCTTCTGGATTACTATTTGCTAAATCGTTAATTAGATCAGGGTGATTTGATGTCCATTTTCGTAAATTGAACCCACCGCGATTAAGAAGAACAATTAAGTCATCTCGTAATTCACGCGCTTCTTCTAATGTTTGCCTACCAGTTTGAAGGTCATCGACGTAAAAGTCATCTTTTAGAACTTCTGAGGCGATTGGAAAGTTTTTGGACTCGTCTTCTGCGAGTTGAGAAAGAGTGCGAGTTGCTAAAAAGGGAGCGCAGGAGGTTCCGAAGGTGACTGTTTTCAATCTATAGATTTTGATTGGCTCTTTAGGCGAATCTCGCCATAGAATTTTCTGAAAAAGACTATCTTCATTTGTGACACGAATCTGTCTATACATTTGTTCAATGTCTGCAGTCAGTACGTATTGAAAGCATCTAAATCGTAGGAGTATAGAAATGAGATTGTCTTGTACTGTAGGTCCCACCATTAGTGTGTCATTAAGAGAGATACCTGAGGTTGTTTTTGCTGAGCCGTCAAAGACAACTCTTACCTTTGTGGTTAAACTCGATGTTTTTACCACTGCTTGATGTGGAAGATAATACCCGTGATCGAGGGGTTCTTCGGGCGGAACAAGTGACATGTGACCAAGTTTGAGATACCAGTTAATGCATTCGGTATATTGATCCTTTAAAGAAGGATTCTTTTCGAATTTTCGTTCCAGTGCATAAAAACGCTGGAAAGCAGTGTTTCGAGAATTGCTCAATAATTCCCTTTTTTCGTTAAAAGGAAGTTTTACGCAATACGCGCCCGATTCAAGTCTAGAGACATTGTCTTTATAGTGTTTTTCGCACGCAACGTCATCTGCCGATTGAATTTTTTCATTAGATTCCGTATCTATATCCCATAGAATAGGTAGATCGCGAAATTTAATAAGATTACAAGAGATTTTTGAGCTGTTTGAACAGATCGGATTCGAAATTGAGCCGGTTAAAATCCAACCGAGAAGAGTTTCTTGAAATACAGCAGATTGTCCCTTGACGCACATTTGACCGGTTTGTAATAGTTGAAAGAAGAATTCAGCACCAATCAATAGATTAATTTCAGCGGGTTTGTGGAATTCTGGATCCGCTAGTTTTATACCATCCGGTATATTAATCCATTTTTTATCGATCGCTAGATTCGGCATGAGATCTGAAATCTCTTTGAAGATGAGACAAGACAATTCAAGTTTTGTGTTTGAATAACGCGACTTGATTTTAACGACGGTACTGTACTTCACGGAAGAGCTAATGTTTTGAGCACCAGGTAATTTAATGTTTACACTTCTTTTTTGTAATCCCAAGAATGATGCGAATTTTTCTGATATAGAATTGCATTGAGATCCCGAATCGAGTAGTACGCGACAAGGTTTAAATTCACCTTTGCTATTTGAAATATCAACCACAGCAGTCCCTAGAACAATTTGTGAGGTGATTTGCGCATGAAAACCTTGATATTGTGTTGATTGCGAAGTAGAAGGATCACCTATACCTGAGTCTGTTGCATTGACGTCAGAATTATTGACTTGGTTATTAGAACTTCTTTTTTCAAAATGAAGAAGAGTATTGTGTTTCTCGTTACATTTTTGACAATTAGACGCTTTGCAATCAATGGTTCGATGAGGGCCATTTAAACAATTGCGACAAAGAGAGGTCTTTTTAATCTCGTTATACCGTTCTGATGGTGACAATTTTAAAAATGTTGGACAGGCGTAAGGCTTGTGTTTTTCTTGACAAACAGGACAAGAATTAGAACATTTCTTTGATGACGCGTCAATTGTAGTTTTCATGCAGGATTGAGATTGCTTAGAATTCGATTGAGACTTATTGCCGTTTTTATTCGAGGCACATTTTTGAGAGGAATTCTGGTTTTGATTCAAATGCGAAGATTCGATAATCGCGCGTTGTTCTAGAAAACGAGTAAAATCATCCATAGTCGGCACTCTGGTAGAAATTAAACTTTCCTCCCATTTTTCGCGATTGTGATTGTTGAGATTGCTTTTAACTAAGTAAATCAGCATTATATCCCTTTGAGCATTGGGTGTAAGCAATGCATCAAGAGCTCGCATACGTTTTTGCAAATTATCTAATAAACCGCGAATAGATGAATTTTTTAAATTGCATGAGATTTCGAATAAAGATTTGACATGACTATCAACAATTACTCTTTGATTATCGTACCTTTGATTGAGAGCGTCCCAAGCTACTTTATAATTTTCAGCAGTGATTTCGAGCGAATCAATAACTTCCGCCGCTTCAGATTTTAAACAGGCCTTCAGGTAATAAAATTTGTGAAGTTCTGGAATAGAGGGATTGTTGTGACACATTGATTTGAACGCATCACGGAATGTAAGCCATGTTTCGCAAGAACCCTCGAATGTAGGAGTCTGAAGTTTAGGAAGTTCAAATCGCGATTTTGGAAATTGAGATATATCAACATTTTCAGTGCTAACCGGAACAGTGTTTTGAGGGACTGATGCTAACGACGTCATCGAAATTGTTCTTAAATGCCTTTTAGTTAAGCCGCTAACAGTATAAAATCTTTTTTCAAAGGATTCCCTTTCTGAATCATTTGTCGCCCTTTCTGTCTCATCAGTTATCAAATTATCAATTTTATCTTGCACATTGCTGAAAGCATCCCATAAACTGAGATGTCTTTGCAATCTACCATCTAAATCAAGAGACTCTAGATCTGTTTCATCATTGATTTCTTTTAAAACATTTTCAAAATTTGTTAGGTTACGTTTTATGCTACCGCGTAACTTTTTTAGTTCAGAAATAGTAGCCATTTTGTAAAATATTTTAATTTAGACTAAATTGGATTGTGAAGGACAGGATTTGAACACTTTTTGAATTAGAACAAGCGTGAAACTCACCACTTTAGAGATTGCGATAATTTCTGCAATGTTGACCACCGAAGATGTATTATGTTACACTCTGGTATCTCTGGATGTGGACCCTCTCACGTTGACTCAGGAACCTTTAAGCCTCGACTGGACCTCAGACTCGTTCAGTGATAAGTTTTGGCTTGGAAACCTCGTCTTGATAGAAAGGACGATGTGGAATGGATGTAGAATTCCACTAGTGCTGGCTGGCTTGCAGGTTTTGTTGTGGTGATTGCATCGAACTGACCGATAAAGATTGGAACTTTATATCAGTCTGCTGTCACTCACAAATCACAACTTCTCTCGTGTACAGTTCGAACAGAGATGCGTTTTCTTTAATGGATATAGAAAACGTTTTGAATGGATAGTTTGTATTTAAACACTCACTTTGCACACGAATTAATTAACTGCAAGTCCATAATTAACGCGAACTAGTTTTGATAAGACATATCCGGTGTATCCGGCTCGAAGGACCAAATTTTGTTCTGCCTCAATAGAAAAAGGCTTGATTGTTTTTTAATAAAACTGACATTTTATTATTAAGAGTGAAGGAGAATAATTTTGATATTGATTTTACCCTTAATTAACACATTTATTTAATTTCAAAGACAAAATACATGGAGTAAGTTTCTGACAAAATTAAATCTCTACGTCTATTCTTTTCGGAAGTCGACCGAGTTCTGATCTCAGGTCCTGTTTAGGTACAGGGCCCTTACTCGAAGTACAGGCTAAATTTGGCAACGTCGCATTTAGATTTTGAAAAAGTGAAAGTGGCAACGTTGGAATTTGAAGATGGAAGGATAAATTTTGTACATAGATTTTGAGAAATAGTACAAATTGCCTATTGCCATCTTGACCGTTCTACTCAGGTACCTAGGGTTATAACCCAGTACCGCAATAAAATCATTTTCTCTACATACCGAAGATTTTGAAAGATTCAGAGGCTTACAAACTAACATTTTACTAAAAATATTTGTTCGAGAAATATTCGTTTTAAAATGTTTGTATTAAAAAGAATGACAAAAATATTATTAATTGTTAAATATTGTTACTACGTAACAAATATTAATATTATTATTATTATTATTATTATTATTATTATTAAATTAATTAAAATTAGTATTTTCATTTAAATGTTTATTTATTTTAGTTTAATAATAAATAATTAAATTACTAAAGTTAATGTAATGTTATTTGTAGAAATGCAAGTACGGAATTTTTCGATCAGGAAAGTTGGTCCTTTATCGCCAGAAATACTTGAGGCAAAGAGTCCGTACTTGCTCTTACGGCCCATGGCATCAGTATTTCTAGTCAAGTCAGACCACATTTACTGGCAGTACTTGCCCTTGCGGACTCTGCTTCCAGTAAAGTTCGTAAATACGTCATCATTTTCGAGCAGTAATAGCACTTACCGACTATTTTTGCTTGCAAGTACGGACTCTGTCAAAATGATTTCGCGAAATCACTGTAATTAAACACTAATTAATTAACATTAATAAAAAATATTACTACAGCTAGATTCCTTTTTTCATAACGAATCCAGTGATATAAAAAACTCATTTTCGATAAAAATGTCGATTACCGACTTTCTTCACCAGCACGGCAGAGTAATCAGCGACCTAAAAAAATTTTTAAGCATAAACGGCAGATTGTTTTATATTTTTGTTTTATGATAATTACATTCATTTTAATTTCTTTATTGTTTTGTTATTGTAAGAGATATCCTATAATATATTATTTTATTTACTTTTTGTTATTAAAACAAATAAAATAATGTTCAGAAAATGTAAAAATGTGCAAAACACTATACGGAGTGTCACAATGCTTTAAAGGGTTTAAAAGACGTTAAAAAGGTGTTGATAATTAAATCTCAATAATTAAGTGTAAAATACAATATTTTTACTACTTTTAAAGACATGTTTACCGTAGTGTGTTTCAGAAATATTCAAAGCGAACGGGCTAATGGATAACGATCAATGCGATAATATAATTCAGGATTTTTTAATATAATTCAAGGTACTTCAGATAATTCAGGATAATTTTACACAAGTCGATACCTTGTACAACGTATTTCAGATGTATATTGACTATAATTGATATTTAATTTTCTATAGGTGTATATCTCTCAAATTTCAGAAGACTATTATTACGTATTCCCTACTAAATGTAAAAAGATATAAACGTATATAAATTGAATACTTAAATTCACTTTCATTCATTAGTTATATTTTTAATAATTATTTCCTCATAAAGGAAGTGATTTTCTGAGTAGCGTAAAATTTAGTTTGATGATATTTAAAAAATACTTCCTCCATGAGGAAGCAAAATTGGCGTTAATAAAAATCGGATTATTTTTAAGTTTAATGCTCAATAATAAAATATCTGCTTTAAGCCGGACAAAATGTTGTTAATTTTCTTCTATTTGAAAACACAAGCAGCTCAGTAGTAAAGTTTTCACGACGACACTTATTTTTGAAACAACATTTATATTTGCCAAAATAATATTAGTACACTTTATTTAATAGAAAATATAAATAATAATTGGATTTTTTAAAAATATGTAAAGGCTTCACCATGACGATTCTGAGATTCTGGTAAAAGTGTATATTGGTCCGATTTTAGGGGACTTTATTACTTCAGGATAGATATTGATAATAACTGCAAGTTACCTTCATTTAAAAACTTGTTTAGTTATACAGAACAATTTTTTAGGCTTGTTGCAAAAAGGTTTTTTTCCAATTTTTTGTTGTTGTCATGATAGGAACTCCTATAATAATTCCCTAAAAAATTTTAAAAATCAATGTTTATTGTAAACACTTTTTAAATGATAATCATAAAATTATACATCTAAATCAGCATCCTTAATAGCTCGCAACAAAAACGATAAAATCCACTATTTCATGAAATCATCCTTTCTGAAGAAGAATTACTGGAAAACTTAGTATGTAATTTTTTGCGATTTTTTTAGTTTAATAAACAAATTTGTTAAAGTTATTCCATTTCAAACAGAACCCTAGTTATCGACATTGATACTCTTATTTTTTTAAAAATTGTTATAAATCTTAGACAACTCAAAAACCATTTAATAATAGGACCCGTTAAATTGCGAGTCTAAATAATTTTTCTATACAATATTTTTTTATTTATTTCATACAATTAATTTTGATGCTTAAACAGCTATTAACTCACCTTAAAATAATAAAAATTATCTATTTTTTTAGCAGTTGCAAAAATGTTTATAAAATTTTTTCAACTATTTTCACACTTATTTCAGTGAGACTATTTTTTATACAAAAATGCGAATATACACTTTAGAATTTTACTCAGAATGGTGTTGAGACATCGCGCATCTGTTAGAATTAGCGCTTTGACGATTTAATTTTAATTTCTTACAAAAATGCCAGATGGTCTTCTCGTAAAGTCATTCCTCTATAGTTAAATTGTAATTTAATTTTAATGTAAATATTTCGACGTTTTAAAAGGCTTAACCGCATGCTATATACAAACTTGGAGACTAGAATTAACATTGAAGGAGTAATAAAAAAACAATTGTTTAACAAACATCGTATAATATTTAATTATACTAATATAAAAAATGACAATAATAATTATATTAAGTACTGCATTTTATTATAAATATTAATTTCAATTTTATAAGTAAAAACATTTTGTGTTCATTACAGTACTTGCAATTTATTTCTCAGAAGTCATGAAAGATATGAAATTTTACACTACATAGAAAATCACCAGTATATCTTAATATTATTTGACCTCAGGGGTTTAAAAATCAGATTTTGAAAAAATATCGTCAGGGCATGTGTGTATATTATATTTTGATAAATATTGCGCATATTACAAGTTATACGGATGACCTTTTTTTAAAATTGTAGGTTTACAAGGGGATATAAAATAAAAATGTTTTGAGCCAGGTTATGTTATGTGTATATTCTTTTCTTTTATGGTTTTACAAAACACATTTTTTGTAATATAATAATACCTCAACATCAATTCATACTTTACCTCATTTATGAATCATACATACTGTACCTAATATGGTGACCAATGATATTTAATCATCTTCTAACTACAAAACATTAATTACTATTCTCAGAAACATTCATACAGGCATACACTCCGTTTTAACTTAACATATAATCATTGCGGTTCCAATTTTGTGACCAAACAAAGTATAAATCCGGCATTTCGAATTTATAATTCGATAACTCAGAGTGAAGTTCCATGTCATCGATTTTTGTTACGTTTTGTAACTAGTAAACTAGTAGTGTGAAAGACCAATAAGCTGGAGTGCAATAAATTACAATTACATACTAAATTTTTAATTTTTTTAAAATAAAATTATTAAAAACGCTATTTTGAATTCCAAGTTTGTAATTTACCATTCATACGAGAAATACTAAATCATGGACCACAAAAATTTTTAAACAAATTTTTTGTGTAATCTAATACAGCAATTAAATTTCTGAATATTTTATAATTTTTAACTAGCAACTTTGTCGTCCGCAAGCGGCCGACTACGTTGCTAGTATGCATTAACCATATTTTTTATTCATTTTTTTTCAAAAAAATTTAATATTAGAAATGTAAAAAAAAATTTCTTTATATTGGATCTACCACCCAAGTAGCACGGAATATTCCTTGAATGTCAAGCTGATATCAACTGAGAATATTCTTGTGACATTCAGGCGATATCATGTTGAAAAAGATGCAATTTAGTATTTTGTCATTTGTTTGAATCAGTTTACTGAACAGCCAATGGCGCTGTCGTCGCTAAGTAGTTTCTGTACTACGATTGTTTTATCTATAAAACTGTTTTGTCTCGTGACGAGTGCGCACGGAGAGTATTTTTTTGCTTTTGTACTATTTTTAATGTTTCTAATAATAAA